TATACAGTTTACCGGTTTTAGTAATTGTCATGTATCATTGTCTATGTTTGGTTTGGTCATTTTTCCTCATATTTTTCATAAGTCCAAATCAAAATTGTAAATCGCAAAATTTGATGAACAAATCATATCCCAATTCTAAGTGATAAACTGCACCATGTCATGACTGGAGCATTTGGTGCTGTTTGGTATGCAATTTAGATTTAGCAGTTAATAAATAGTCCTAGCGAAAGCGATTTTTGTTAATTTATCATTCTCCATAAAAGTTTTTTCACTTGTGTGACCTTGTTGAAATGTTGATTTTCTTGTAGGCGAGATGTAATCGTAACCTCATCGGTTTTGGCATGTGAAGTTGCAAAGGTAATTTTATTACTGTATTTTCAGCCTACCATCATGAGACTGTATTCGTTTGTGATCCTGAATTCTTTTTACCCTTCAGGTTATATGTGCTTTCACGGTCCTCGCATTCAATGGTAGCTTGACAAAATTATGCAAAGACTGGTCTTTACTCAGGGCATTGACCTTTTCAGGACTTCCAGCTGCAATTTATGCACTGCAGAATAGTTTGCTTCAGATCTCGTACAAAAATCTTGACTCACTTACATTTTCAATGTTGAATCAGACAAAATTATTTTTCACAGCTTTCTTTGGGTATATGATATTGAGGTAAGATTTCAGTAAGTAATATTAGTGGCTATCTTATTTTCTGAATTTTCAAGTCAAAGAAGGGTACAATGGATACTTTGTGGCTTGTTATTGGAGTGGTTGTAATTTACGGTGCGGCTTAAAGGTCAAGTATTTTGGTTATATTGGACTATTGGAGACCTAGAGTGGCCTAGTTGTGTGGTTTTGTCATTTCTGGTATGCTCATAATACCCTCACTTGTGCTTTGAGTGCTTCATTCATTAAGCTTGTGGAGTCTTTTTATTTTGATTTATTTTGCTTGGGAACAAGGTTGGTTATTGGGTGTTGATGCAAGTACCTAGGGTTTGATCCGTTGACTTGGCTATTGTAAGGGAGTCTTGTTTCTTTTTGGTCAATTTTGAACTTCTTAATTTCAAATCATTTGGTTTAAGAAGAAAATCAGGCACAAGTTCTCATATACCACAAAACATTCCAACTAACTAAGACCTTGATTTTGTTGAGATTGATACAATAATTACCTCTTATTTTCAAAGCACATCAACGTGATTGATATCTAAATATATTGCAGTTCTTGTGTTGTGGACCTTTGATAATTTTGGATAGCTCAAATTCCTGACTTCAATTATTTACAGGCAAAAACAATCAATTCAACAAATTGGAGCCCTTTGCCTTTTGATCTTTGCTGCTGTACTTTTAAGCATTGGTGAAGGCACAAGCAAAGCTTCAAGAAGTCGGAATCCCGAAGAAGTGCTATTTTACGGGATTGTTCCTGTCTTGATAGCCTCTGTGCTTTCAGGTCTAGCTTCTTCTTTGTGTCAATGGGCTTCTCAGGTATCTTGAGCTTATCTTTGTCACTCAGGTAGTCAAGTATCTTGAACCTCTCTTTGATCTTGATTTACATTTTTTTAATCATTGCAGGTCAAGAAACACTCATCATACTTGATGACTATAGAGATGTCAATTTTTGGAAGCCTGTGCTTGTTGGCCAGCTTGTCTCAGTCCCCTGATGGATATGCTATGAGAAACCATGGGTTCTTTTATGGATGGACTCCTTTAACTCTGGTATTTTTTTTTTGTCCTTGGGCACTTAAACTTTTGTTAGTGCAGTATCAGTTTGCTTCTTCATTGCCGAGGGCTTACGTTCTGAAAATGTAGCAATAAGTGAAATGACTGTTGAATTCACCAATATTTCCTATTTTAAGGAAACTGGCCCTAAATTACAATTCCCATCTGTTAATAAGATGTACTTGTTTGAAGTCTGTCAAATTATTAAGTTATGTATCTGTGGCGGATCGCAAATGGTAAAATTACTCTTGAGTCTTGATGATCAATTGATGATTCTGCTCACTCTCTCTTTCTGGCCTTCTGACGGTTCTTTTCCAATCAGTATTGGAATATCTAAACACTTATTAAGTTTATTTGAGGGTGTACAATGTTGCATTGGATTTAGCCACATGTTGATGTTTAGGTGAAAAGGGCTCGCTTTTCTTATCCATCTGTTATACTTTAATCTACACCTCCCCTCGCCTGCCTGTTGCCTGCTGGCTAGGGCTTGGGCTGAGCAGAGACTTGGCCAATAGGGAACCTGTTGGCCATTATACTCTCCTTTTCTCATGGAAAGTGAGGCCATACCTGGTGTGCTGCATGGTGGCCTTGATGTCACGTGAGCTAAGAGTTCAATGGCACAGTATCATTGTGAACATAGACATTTGTGGCATGAAATTTTGCTCTTTTTATTTCTTTCAGGTCCCTGTAGTAGCAAATGCCCTTGGTGGAATTCTTGTTGGGCTCGTCACAACTTATGCTGGTGGTGTCAGGAAGGCAAGTTTGCTTAGATTGAAATCAGTATTTTGTTTTTTTTAATTATAATAATATATTCTCATTTACATGCTAAATATTATTATGTTTTTGAAATTATTGAGACACATTGAAGCAACAATTTGATGGGTAGACCTCTCTCTAGCTAAAGGCTCTTGATTACCCCCTTCCCAGTGGCTTGTTAATAGTAGAATACCTTCATGTGAACAGTTTTGAAGTTTGTTTTTAGTAAGATTTGCATGTTGAAAAGCTTAAAAACATAATGAATAAAAACGTTCTTTAGTTGATTTGTGTGTGAATCACCATTTTGATGATTTGTAGCCCACTCCCACTATTCCCAGCTCTATATTAGCTTCCTGGTTCTAAGTCAACTGGTACTTGTAGCTTAATTTGTATCAGGCTCTTCTTTGTTGGTTGGATGTTTTGGCAGTCTAGTGGCTAGTGCCACTGAAAAGATTTAACATCTCATTTCATTTATGTTATTGCAGGGCTTTGTCATTGTTTCTGCACTTCTTGTGACAGCCTTGCTGCAATTCATTTTTGATGGTATACCACCTTCACCTTACTGCCTTGTGGCTCTTCCCCTAGTGATAACAAGCATCTCAATGTATCAGAAGTACCCTTACCGCGCCAAAAAGAAGGAAGCTTAGGCCTAAATCATTCTGAGTTGGGGAGGATCATTTTTTTGTTTTTCTTTCCTCAACTGGGTATGGTGGTCTGTTCAGAATTTAATTCATCTGGCGGACATGTGGTGTTAATGCTGTAGGCGAAAAACTAATATGCAAGCACTGTTTCTCTGTTCATTAGAAATTGTATTAAAGTCTGTCAGACTTCTAAACCATTGAATGATGAATATTCATTCACTAGAATGTACAGCTGAATGTCTTTTACCTGACATTTGAATGAATTTTTGGATATCTAGGCTACATTTGGGATTCAGAACTGGAAATTGTAACTTCTCATCTTTATGACAGAATGAAGTATGTCTGTGTTTCAAGTGTTCACTTTATGTATTTTCACAATTTACTTTGTTTAATGGGAGAGCCGGAGAGGTAAAAAATTTAGGCCAAGCTTACCAATGGAGTGCCAGCCTAAAGCCTAACCAAGTAATCATTGTGAAGTTTATGCTCACTTTCTATTAGTCGTGGTATATCGTGTATTCTTTTAACCGAGCGTTTGGTATGGGGTAATTAGAAAAGGGAAAGGGAATAAATAAAGTTTATTTCTTTTGTTGTTGTTTGTAATGACATTTTTATATTTCTCTTTTCCTAAGGGCGAAAATTAACAATTAATCACAAGTTTGTCATTTAATGTTTATGAGCTGCCTCTCTAAGAAGATGAAACAAATAGAATTATATGAAACCCCAATTCAAAATTTCAATCAAATAGTTTTGAAATTTCCAATTTATAATTAATTATTGGAAATTTTGACTTTTGGTACCACAAAAAGACCTATTATTCAATTTTGCTACCTCTAACAATTTTTTTTTATTTTACTACCACTAAAAATCAGGTTTTTTTAAAACTGATACCAGTTGACGGAAACTGTTAGATTAGCCGTTTGTGGGGCCCACTTCAACCCTGCCTCTCTCTCTCCTCCTTCCCCAGCCACCAATCCCCTGCCACTCCCCCTCCACCCCACAGCCACCTGGCCCGTATCTCTTCTTCCAACCACACCAGCCCAGCCATCCCCCTTGGCGGATTCCCACCCCTTCCCCTCCCCTTTCCCCAGCCAACGCAGCAGCCATGAACAAACGCAGCAGCAGCAGCCATGAACAGACGCAGCAGCAGCCAACGTAGCAGCCAGGAACATACTTTCAGCCACCAACGTCGAAGCTTGAAAACGCCTAGCCACCGCAACCAGCCAACGCCCACTTGAATGCCGTGCAACTAGGAGCAAACGCCTTGCCACGGTGCCGCGACGAACAAGAAAACCGAGTCCAACAATTCGAACAATTTCGAATCAAAATTAGGATTTTCTAGCGGTTTGATGTTTGATTTTAATCCCAAAACAAGATTTTGGTATCAATTTTCAATCTTATTGAATTAATATGATGATTTTCATTCAAAATCAAATTGGGGAAAAAGTTTGGGTTTTTAAAATTTATGAATCAAACTCTTTGATTTCAAAACGAAAATAACAATTATTTACATGATTTTGCAATTGAAATCTAAAGAAAACAAAGCCCTCAATCAATTTCGACACAACTTGTCAAATTAGAGGTCAAAATTTTTCGATTTTCCCCTTATTCGAATCGACCCCCCCTACAATCATACAATCATCATCGTCGTCGTCCGCTGGTGGGGGAAAGGGTTTGGGGTGGGGTCGCCGGCGTTTGCCCAAGCGCCGGCCGCCAGCAGGAGGGAGGGTGGCTGACGGGAGAGGGGGCAGTTGAGGGTGGCTGGTTTTTTTTTTTTTTTAAACATTTTAATTTTTTATTTTTGAATAAACTTAATGGAATCTTAACGGAAATTTTAATTTTATTTTTCATTTTAATTTTATTCCGTTAAGTGGTAGTGAAATTTAAATTATGTGATTTTTAGTGGTAGTAAAATAAAAAAAAAAATTGTTAGAGGTAGCAAAATTGAATAACAGGTCTTTTTGTGGTACCAAAAGTCAAAATTTCATTAATTATTCCGTAAAATTTCCTTTTTTCCTTCTAAGAAAATATTTAAAAAAAAAAAATTGAAAGCATCACTGTCACTCTCCCAAATTCCCATTTTTCTGGGGTTTAAGGTGGGTTTTTGGCAGCTTCATCTGCAACTCTCTCTAAAATCAACTCTCTTCACAAAACATCGAAGAAGAAGGAGCAGCAATGGCTGGAAGATTAGGAAGACGAGTAGTACACTTCGCCAACCTCCCAATCAAGCTCCTTATGCCTTCTTCCTTCACCAACATCACCGAAATCTCTCTCAAAACCATCCCTTCTGCTTCCAAGGTATTTTCACAATTTCATCTTCGTCTTCATTTTCCTCTTAATTTCTTCCCAGTTTCATCGATTTTAATTTGATTAATTTCGAATTTGCAGATCGAAATCAAGAGGGTTTTGGAATCATTGTATGGGTTCGAAGTCGAAAAAGTTCAAACCCTAAATATGGAAGGAAAGAAGAAGCAAAGAGGTGGTATTCTTCTTGCTAAACCCGATTACAAGAAAGCGTTTGTAACCCTAAAAACCCCTTTATCAATTTCGCCTGATCTTTTCCCTATTAAGGTGATTGAGGATGATAAGAAGGAATTGAATAAACAGTCTAAGACTAGCATTGTTGAGGCTGAGGGTCAGAAGAGGTCTCATTGGCTTGAAGGCGATGGAAACCGACCCGATAAGGCCACTCCACGATACCGCCGTGGTGTTGGGGGATTTGCTCCTCCTCGCCCTTGTCGTACTGCTGGGGGTGCTCCCGAGACAGCGAAATTCCCGTGGACTAGTATGAAGAGGACCCCTGCTGCTTCTAGGTAGATGCTTTACTTTTGGTATTTTGTTACTGATTAATTATAAGCATGAGGTACTTGATGAGATAAGGTTGTTGTTTATCATGATATCATCTAATAGAGTTATTTGAGATTTTTTGCTGCTGTTTTAGTGGTAATGCTGCCATTGATGTTTTGGTTTACCAGGATTGTGACAAATTATTTTGATGTTGAAAACCTGCCATATTGTTGGTGTTCAGTAATAATGTTCTCACAGCTATGTGATTCTCTTTCTCAATGGTTGATGCTATGTATGCTATGAATTACTAATAGTATGTGCATAATTGTGACATAGTTTGTAAGTGTCGAATCCTATATAAGCGTGCTAGTTGTATATGTGAGATTATCCTCATTGGATAGAAGGTAAGAAGGTTACCACCTTATACTCTTAGGGAGTTACACACTTAAAGCTCCCTTTATCTTGCAATTTATCAACTGGTTTTGGGGTAGAAGCTCACTTGGGCATGTAGTGGGTTCACTCTCCTCTTTCTTCATGGTCTGACGGACTATCCAAACAACAACAGCAGCAACAAAGCCTTAGTCCCAAAATGATTTGGGGTTGGCTAATATGAATCATCATAAGGAACCGTCTCAAATAGAAAAATGGACTTCTATCCAAACCCATTTTCATATTTTAGAAAAATTAAATAGTAATGTGTAAATGGCAATGAATGTGTTGATTTTCATGATATTTCAAAGGAAAAACAAACCCCAATCTCGTCATTGACATGTGGTTGAGATGTTTATTGTGAAACCTATGACTGAAACTAATGTAATAGGCATGCTAGATTGTACACCATTTTTATAAATTTTTTTAATTTGTATTCAAGATATCGTTAGTGCTCCATCATCTGCTTGGCACTAAAATCTTGTGCTCAATTTCTTTATTGTCTTATTGTTTTGATTCACTTACAAGATCAGACATAAATTGTTCTTTCCCTTCTTGGAGATAAAATACTTTTGTAGTATGAACGCATGGGCTGTGAGGCTGTAATTTATGTGGAGAAGACTTTTAGGTGATTACTATGATGACGAGAACATAATTTCTCCGATGACATTTTTGATCTCCTGGCTTCACTTAGATAATTGCTCAGTGAATGGATTGTCTTCTCCCAGTATTAGGTGTGCTTCTCTCTTGGTTGGATATTTCTTGGTCTCCAATATCTTCCATGGCTTTTTCTGTAAAAAGAGATAGATTCTTTATTTTCTTCCATCGAAAAATCCAGCCTGAGTTGCTCCGTTGCTTGTTGATTTGCTTTATATATTCTTGTTGGAGCTCAGAATAGTCTCTCTGCAGTTCTGACATCCTATCTTTTACTATCTCAAGCTCAGTTCTAAGAGTTGTCATCTCTTTCTTCGTAGTCGACCAGCTTTCATCATTTTCACGAGCATTGCCATCAGTTGTTTGTTCCTTGCTTTCCATAGCCGCCCTCATCTTCACTTGCTCTGAGAACAGAACCTGTTGAATATTTGGATAGAAATTTAATTATGTTTGAGATTCTTCATGGCTATTGTCTTGAGCTTCCTACATCTTTATATAGTTTTTAATTTAAAAATATGTATAGAGCACTAGTTTATAAAGTTTTCCTCATACAATTGCCAAGGCATTGAAATTGGAAGCTGTTGCTTCTTTTCCCTCCCTTTGGAAGCTTGAGTTGAATGAGTGATGGAACTTAGAGCTTGCACTCATGTTTATCTGATTTTCATTCTATAGTGCAAGGCTTTGTTTTATGCAAAGACTTAAGTGGATCTCTCTCTTTCTCTCTCTCTCTCTCTCTCTCTCTCTCTCTCTCTCTCTCTTGCCCCTGATTTGAGAAACATCATCTTCAGACCTTTCTGGCTAATGATACTATATGGCGGAGGCTATTCATATGCTGCATAAGGGATAAGTTGTGTGTAGCTTGTTGCATATAGGTTGGATTTATATTTTGACTGTGATGTGTGAAAGATAAGACTAGCTGCTTCTAAAACTGAAGGTAGTACCTGTATAACAGTTTTCAATGGCAGTCGATCATTCTGTGCCACATGCATGCAAGCATCAAGTGACAGCTTCTGACAATTCATTATCCTGCACAGCCTTCTACGCTCTTGCTCCGTTAGTGAAGGGTGGCTCTGATCCAGTAAATTTATAAGTAGACTTTATTTATTGCTTCTCATTGAAGTTGGGATAGAAGTTGGGCTGGAATGCTTACCTTTAGATAGGTGTCAATTGATCTATATAGACCATCATGACATAGTCTAGCATTTGCTGGCAATGCTTCTGCCAGAACTTGGAACTTCGAGATAGTGAGATTGGGGTCTGTTGCAATTTCAGCTAAATAGTTGTCTAGAAGCTTACTGACTTCTAGTTCTTCAGTCCTCTGCTGCTGTTGTTGTTGCTGTTCGTGCATCAGAAAGTATTCCACTATTCGCTGCACAGTGTCTATGTTGTGTATTGTCTTTTCCTCTGGTGAACTGTGCCGAACACTGGTATGGTTAGTTTAAGGTAAATTGTTGAACCAGCAAATTACTTCTCCATATAACCTAGTTTCTGGCAATATTATGACTTGTATTGTCTTAAGTCTGTGTTATTGACGAAAATAAGATTTCTAACATCAAATCATAAACTCATAATTCAATCTGACAATAGAGTATTTTTGGCTTTTCATGTCATAATATGGTTGATTCTATCAATTATGATTTGAGCTAAGACTTGACATCTAAGAGTAATCAAGGTGCCTAAATGAAGATTAAATTTAGCTGATTTTTTTGTTAAGTGTCTAAGATATGAAGTTATTCCTCATAGATTAAAATTTTCTAATCTTGAGAGAAGGTGATTCTAAGATAAAGTATAACCTTGAACTTACTTTATCAGCTTCCCTCGATCTTTGTTATGATATCTTGGAATTAGGAGGTCTTGGACATCGGCATCTTGCAAGACTGACCCTACTCTCTTTTCAAGCTCTGAGATTAGAGCTGGTGTTGCAGAGTATATCATAGCCATATTCAGCATCCATAACAGGAACTTACAGGAAACAGCTTCTTTCTGAGGCGGCAATATACTGATGATGCTTTCTATAATCATCTTTTGCTCCTTATTTTGGCTGATGTCACCTTCTTGGTTCATCCCACTTATAATACTGAAGTGCCGATCACTTTTTGCATACCAATGCCGTCCTTTCCCTTCTACATTCCCATCCATGCTTGGCAACCATTTTTCTGCATAATGCTTGATACATGAACCTATGACATCTGGTTTAGTACCTTTGGATTTCAATGCTGCTATAATTCTGCCAAAGTGGTCAATCCGCAAGGTTGCTATGTCATCAAACCACCAAACCTCATCATCAATTAACTCATTCTTGTCTTGAAAAGCTTTCCACGAAATTGAATCACAACATCTTCTTACAATCTGGAGGTTTTCTGCCCAGGGAGATAGTTTCTCACAAGCTTTGAGAACTATAACCGAGTCTCTCCATGAAGCTAGTACTATAAATGTCAGAAAAGCTTCTGTTTTGGATATTAGATTTCCATCTTCGAATTCCTCTGTCATTTCTAGATATTCTGATGCACATCTCAAAGGGGCCACATTGTTGGGGCATAGATCTATGGGAAGGCCATAGCAGAATTTCGCTACTTCTTCAAAAGTTGCCAGTCCTCCTGGAAAGTTGTCAAGTTTGATGTTGTGCTCTAAACTTGAACTTGTGGGCTGAAATTCTACCCGACCTATGTAGCCACTCTTTGTAAGTAGTGCATACTGTATCAATAGAAAACTGTTAAGGTGAGAGATAACTTGATATCAAAACCAGAAGTGGATTTGGAGATTATGTATATCTAATGGAACCTCTGGGATTGGGAAAGTGCTGTTATTTTTCTTGATTGAAAATCTAATCTGAACATACACCATCGATTAACCTCTTCTACTCTGCTCCCCTAGCATCCCTAACCTAAGTGTCATACCAAGTCACAGGCTTTTGTGTCTTGAGGTTGTGTTAACTGTCCCTCCAGAATGATCAGATGCTTTTTTTCGTAGCTTTACTTGGTGCTGGTAAATTTGATGTTATTCATATTTAAACTTCATTATTACGTGAAGATGATTTTAGCGAAGTTGCTAATAACTTGTATATTGAATAATATCTATGCTTTTGTGCCCCTTCTATCTTAGCCTTTTGGAGCATCCACAATGGTTGTGCATAAGGACCTGCTAGCAATTTCTAAATAATTGCTAGCTACATGCTAGCCATTGTGGAGCTACAACCTCATGTAGCTAAGCCAAACTACATAGCCCTATACTATGTAGTTTCACTCCACCCAATGCTATTATATTTATTGTTTAACATATTTTATATTTTTTATGTCATCATGTTTGACATTGTAGAGGTTGTAGCTTAAATCATATAGCTTGAGAAATAATGATGTGGCAACCCTTAGCTACATGTACATGTAACTAGCCATTGTGGATGCTCAGCTTTAGAAACTGCTGTCATCATACTATCTTCACAGTTGTACCCTAAATTTTTGGAGATGCATAAAATTACTGGCTGAGATCCCCCCTCCTTTTTTCCCCAAGGATACCTAAAATGAAGAAGGTTTAAAACTCTCAGCTTTATACATTGCCAACAGTTTTTTAGGTGCACTCCCAAAGCGCAAAATGGGAATTGGAGATATTATTACAGAGCATTTAATTATGGATATAAGAAAATTTGGGGATTTAATAGCTTTTGTGAATCATTTTATTATTGTTAGTATATAAATTTTTGATTTCTCTAAACAACATTCAATATGTTTAGTTACCTTATGCATGTGAAAGGTGTTTTCCTCGATTTGAATCGATAGATCAGTCGGGATATCAGAAGTCACGAACCTGCATGTAACATAAAAAAAAGAAAAAAAGGCACTAGTTGGAGGGAGTCAATGCAATAGGAAAACAATGGTATATGGAAGAAAATTGACCCGGGGGGGGGGGGGGTGGTGTTGCTCTGTGAAATGTGAGAAAAATTGCTCTTGTAGCCATTGGAGGAATTCACCAGCTGCTACAAGTTAAGGAAACAAATAATTGTCTTTACCATGCATTGCCGTTCTTCTCAAAAGTGTAATCTACATTGTTGATTCTGGTGGGAAGTATGATTTGATCTGCGTCATTGCTGTCATTCTCCTGGCTTTTTGGTTCAGCTGCAGGTACTGGCCTCTTCATGGTTACCTTTTCACTATGAAGGTTTAAGACTATGAGGAATTTTTGCTGGTCTTATTGAACGAAAT